AGTAAAATGGAATCAGATTGATGTATGTACAAATTTACTTGAAATACACATTTACATGATTAAATATGTATAATAGGTATGTGTGTTGAAATTAGTTTTTACAGTTATTGCACATTAAACAATGTACGTGTTATTAAACAAATGTCCCGGTTTGTGGGACAACCAAGGATTTCTGATTCTGATTGTCTTGTTTACAGAAATGTAATGTACAGCTTACCTCTGCACCCAGCTGCTGTTCTCCCTGTCCAAACGTCCTCCGTTTCTTTGTTGGCTGCTGCACTGATGCACTGCATTCCTCGGTCAGAGAATGAATGGAGTCCCCAATGAGACACAAGTTCCACATCCACCTTCTGTGGATCCCAGCCGTTTTGAATAACAAACACAGAAAGCAAAATAACGCATTAGCGTGATTGCATCCAGCTAGCCACTGCTTCCTGGTGTACCAATTTCGGGAGAAGCCTCGTGTGTACAGTTTACCTCTCTCCTCCTCCTGCTGGCTTGTCTTTACGTCGGGCTGATCTGGTCCAAGCTCTTTGACATTAAGTTTTTCCACCATAGTTCTCCTCTCGAACGGATACTGGAGAAGAGACCGAACTGAATTCAGTGGCTGCTGAGATCCGGTATCCATGTTGTAGGCGCACTGGCGTCTATGTCTACGTCTGTGTCACGACCGTCACGAGTCACGACCAAAAACGTGCTGGAGTCGAGACTCTCCGAGTTCTACCGAACACCAACGAAAGCCTTGGCGGTAGCTCCATCACCCATCATGCTTCTGAAACATTCTGAAACAACGTCGACGCTGATTGGATACATTCCCATTCCTACCCTTTGATTTTCTTGTCAGCAATTGGACAACCGGTCCCGTCTTGTTTGGGCGATTGAAAAACAGCACACAGCCTTCACCGCTCGGCAGAGACCGGCAGAGACCAATATATATATATATATATATATATATATATATATATATATATGATTTATTTTTGTTACAAAACACACAATTAACTTAGAATATGTGATTATTGTTAATTTTATTTATTTTTTTAAATAAAAATTAAAAACACAGGGGAAACTGGGAGGGCGGCACCCTATCGCCCTCTACTGGCCAGCTGCCACTGATATACAGGTTTTTTTTAATCCTTTTTACAATAAGAAGTTTATACAACCAGCCATAATTGTAAACAACTAAAAAACCAAGTTGAGCTTTTTTTTAAGTCTTAGACCATAAAGTGATGATTTGTATTTAAAGATTTTTGCAGAGTCGTATTGTTGAACCATCATTTTAGTCATAAATGGTCATAAAATGCACGTTTTCTCTTGGGTTTCACAATGATCATGAGAATCTGTTTTCTTTAGACTCGTTTTAATGCTGTAAATAGGTGAAGACTTTGTTTAGTCCACCTCCACCTAGACAAACATAGTCAACCCTGTTCCATTTTCTCATTTTCTTTCTTCCATGTCTGTAACACATAGTCAAGCCCTCCACGAGGGAGAAGAAGCCGTCATTCTGAGAACAGCGTCTTCTTTTGTGGGTGTGTTTCTGCTCCAGTGCAGAAACGTTGTCACATTTGATTTATGGAAGATGAGGTGAATATTCTGACATGGATGTGTGACCGGTGTGTGTGTGGAGGAACAGTCTTCCAGTGATGTCTGATAAGGTGTGATTTGAAGTCCTCACAGCCACCACGTTTAAAGACATGCGTGTGAAATGTATAGTGGCACTTCCAGAAAGATCCTGATCAGTCATTTAGGAATTTGAGTATCAGGAGCTGACGGTTCGCCTCTGCGCTGTCCTTTATCTTTTTACTGAATCCAGGTGGGATTTAAACCTTTCTACTAAGATTTCATTGTGGGCAAGAGGAGAAAACAAAGAGCAAACTGAGGAGGCGTTAGACACAGATGCATGCTGAGCTCCTCGGCTCCCCATGAAAACCCCTGTTGCAGTGTAAGCAGGACTGGCTTGGCACAGTGCAGATGTGTGAATTAACTCCATAAAGTTGGAAGGTTTCACTGTGCTATCCCTGTGAGAGAGCTCTCTGATAGCAGTTGCCTCTTCCTCTTCACTTCCTCCTAAACCCTATCACCAGAAGTGCCGCTCGAGCTGGAAGGGAGTGTTGATCATAAAGCTGCCCAGAGAACTCAAAGAGGAGCTGGAAGTAATCGAACCGAGGAATGGGATTTATTCCATTTAGTGGCGCTTGAATTGCAGCCTTTTTTTTTCTTAGAAGAAGAGGAGAATAAACAAGGTCATTTGTCCCTTTGCACAGCCCACATGGGCTTCACTCTTCTGCTGGAGAGCTCATGAATTACCTTCAGTTTATTAGTGTACAGTAAGTGAGCTGTGCTCAAGGTACAGAGCTAATGGGATTCTTAGCTAATCATAATGCTTTCACTAATAGTCCCAAATGACTTGTCTGAATGCTTATTATGTTAATGGATCCTGCATAATGGTTTTTCTCCACTTTGAAAATATTTTATTGGAGTCTTTTACACATAATTTTCCCCCTCCTTTATCAATGACCCTGCTGTAAATGATCCTCTTAATCTTTCATTCCCTCCCATAAAAGAAAATGCTGGACATACTTGTTTCGAGAAGAACCTTCCTTTAGGTTCTGGCTGCTTT